AGGAGAGCCAATGGGTGAAAATGTGTTATATGATATATTAGTTATCACATAGCTGTTAATGTGGTCATTTATTCTTATCAGGTCCAGTTGATAACAAGACAGAACCTAATCTCTTCCTCCCCACTGACTCAGTCATATTGGTTAGACCCCCCCCCAAACCCCCATTAGATTTGAATGAACGAGACACTGTGAATGTAATGACCAGTGTTTCTCAGATTTGTCCTGAGGTTGAACACATTGCCCAATCTCTAGTGCAAGGTCCTAGTGATTTTCCCACTATCCACCCTCTATCTCTGCTTTCAAAATCAGTCTAAAAATGTTCACCTACAAAATCCACACAGTCACTCCACTTTACAGCATATCCCATGAAATGTTTGAGATGTCTCAATGACATAAGAAAATACTTTATCAAAAGCAAGGATTATTATCTTTTGATTTCACTTTGGAGAACCTCCCTCCTACCTCCCATTTCGGGCTCATTTAGTGCCTGTCTAACGCTTTGGACGTAGTTGCAACTTATTTTTTCGGTTTCTTCATGCCTCAAAGAGAGAAAGAGAAACAACTTGCATTTTTATAGGACCTATAATGCCTCAAAGCATGTTTCAGTGATTACTGTTAAGGGCAACAGTTGTTTTTAAAGGCAAACGCAACAACCATTTTGCATACAAAGGCATGAATAAAAATCCTTACACTCGGAATAGCGCCTTTCATGTCGAGAAGGAGTCCCGAAATGCTTCACTGCATGTTCTGTGAAGTGTAGTGATTGTATGTTTTGTGATGAACACAGGGGATTGATGTGATTCCGACATTCCATTGCCATATACGACACCGCAGAGCCAGCTCAGCTTCGAGGAGATCCCCCTGACCGCCTCCCCCACACCCCCAGGGAGGATAGTCTTGACCGTGGCCTTTGAGAAATGGGTTAGCGATGGTTGACTTAAGGACAAAAACCTGCAACTTTAAGTTTCATTTGGATCACATCAAAGGTTACATGTTATTCATGGCAGAGTCACGGATTGTATCCTTTGAAACCTGCTGTGATAGTCCAGTAGGATCTCAGAGTGGCACTAAAACGCAGACCTTTTGAACCCCTCTCTCAGTGTCGCAATAATGATCTTGAAAGTGATATTTTGGGTGACCATAACCTCTACGTGAGGAACAGAAGGAATTCAATCCCCTTTGAACTCAGTCAACATCCAGGCCATTTGTCAGCCACATTTCGAGATTGTTTAATTGCAGATGCATCGCTGCAACCTAGATTGTTGCAGTCCTCTGGTTTCAAAAGACACTCATTAGAGTCCGCTGAAGCGTTGAGTTATTTTAAGTAAGTCTGCTTTAAAAAAACACACACTTTCCAGATGGATTACAGATTGCTCTCCGCAAGCCTAGTCATTTGAAGTTAAAGCTCCTCCAGACTTTATTCACCAGAGAGATCTGCTCAAGGATTGGTAACTTCCAAGATTGCAGAGCAAGAGGAATTTGTAACTGATTTATGCAGGGCAGTAACTCAGAGATCCCTGCGTGCCTTTGCAAAACAGCTTTACCAGATGCAAGGTTTGGCAGGAGTGCAGGCAGCGAGTGCCATGTCAAGTAAGAATTATGACAAACGGCCAAACTGCTCACCTTCTTTTGATAATGGACACATTCACTGCTGGCATCAATCCATCTGCATGTAAAGGAAGACATAATTACAAGGATCAGTGGAAGCTGAATGCACATGAAGGACAGACATTTGTTCACCTTGCTAAATGGGGTTTTCAAAAGGTTTCTGCTTCAATAATCCTGATAAGCCCCTTGTTTAACTCTGCAAGTCAGTAACTGTTCCTCTTTATCTTATGAGGTTGGGATTTAAATGCTTCGAGAGGTTTTCAAGACATTGGGAGGAGATTGTGGGAGGGGTTCAAGAGTAATGTAAGGGAAAATATCCAAGTCACGCACCATGCAAATGCCACCTGACCAGGTTTTGATCTCTCAGAAGTCAAGTATCCAATGCTGGTTAGGACAAATGTTTCTGCTGGATTTACTTGTATCTGAATCTCATGCCTGTGAAACTTGCTTCTCGTTTCAAATAGCATCATAATTTCCACCTAAAAGGCAGGCACCACTAGCAATGCAACACTGCCCAGTACTGTACTGAAACGTCAGCCTCGAATAGGAGCTGAAAGTCGCACTTAAAGTATCCGCTGAATTAGACTTGAAGATATTCTACATACAGTAGTAATAATAATCCTTGCATTTGATACTGCGCCTTATCACGTCTTCTAGGTGTCTCAAAGCACTTCACAGAATATAATGTTAAGTGAATTAATTGACTGTGTATTTTTGTGGGTGAAAATAACTACCTATTAAAGTGAATTGTGAAAATGGAACTTTTCCCTTCAGTCTTGGGCTCTCTATTGTAACACTGTGGTCTGAAGTTTGTGAGACAGTGAGCATTGTAATCTATTAAATATATTCAATCCTTGACTGCCTTGTTAATTAGAAAAGGGAAAATGGGTGAAATAATTTTCTCTTTTCAGTTGAATAGTACACTTCGGGAATGAATACTGGATCCAAGCCTTTGTCTCCTCATTAGTTTGATTGTCTGGGGTCTTCATGTGTTCTCACAGTACACAGCACTCTGTCAATCTGATTATCCTGTAAGAGGAGCTCAAGTCATGGGAGTGGAAATTAACACAAAAAAAATGCAAAATACTGCAGATGCTGGAAATCTGAAACAAAAATCAGAAGTCGCTGGGAACACTCAGCATGTCACTAAATATAAACATATTTGCCCTGCCTCCCCCCTCTCTGTTAGCCCTTAAAAGCCTCTCCCTCCCAACATGCCCCAGTTCTGACGAAGGGTTGTGGACCCGAAACGTTGACTCACTCTCCTTTCTCCATGGATGCTGCCTAGCTTGCTGAGTGTTCCCAGCCACTTGTTTTGTTGTGCAAATTAACATCCCTGATGTGCTAATTAACACACCATTGAAAATTGCACCACAAATTCACAGTACAGGAGGCATAAAAGACCATTATCTAGTTCCCTCATTAAAGTTATGCACCTACCATCCACCTAGTGAGGATCAAGCCTGCGCTTGTTGAATGTTGAATTACCAACTAGTGACTATCCTCCTTGGGGGTGGGGGTGGGCGGGGAGGTAAGTGTGGTCTCTTTTGTGCTGAACTGGCTCCAAACTGACATGCCTGGCAATGGAATAATAATAATAATAATAATCCTTGCATTTGATATAGCGCTTTTCACGTCAGGAGGACATCCCAAAGCGCTTCACAGAACACACTGTAAAGTGAATTGACTGTATATTTGTGGGCGAACGCGGCAGCCAATTGCGCACAGCAATGTCCCACAAACAGTCGTAGATTGAAAATGACCAATTTATTATTGTTTTTGGTTTTGGAGGGATTATTATTAGGCGTGTGGAGTAAGGAAACTTGCCCAAGGTTTCGCTCTGCCTGGAATTGAACTCAGGTCTCTCGCTTGCAAGGCGAGTGCTCTAACCACTGAACTACAGGACTCCACAAACATGAGAATGTTGAAAGAAGCAATATAATTTTAGATGGTTAGACTCCAGCAGTTACCCCAACGCACACTCTCGAGTCATCAAGCCTTGGCTCGAGCCAACCTGTGTCTAATACTTTCCAGAATTAGGTAAACAGGATGTGTCCCTCCAGGGAGAGAGTGCGCATTCCATGTGTAGGTGGGATGCAGGGAAACTCAGCTTGGTTGGGATACTCTTAAGCATGGAAATCGGTTCCGCATGTGTCAGACACCCGGCTGACCACACAAAAAAATATATTTATCTTCTGATAACCACTTCCCACATCCTCGCAACTCGCTGTGTAAAAATTATTCACCTAATTTCTCCCGTTACTGATTAAACACATTGATTGTTTGCATCACAGCCAAGCCAGATCCTTTCCTCATCTGATCACGCATACTCTTTTTGGTCAGTTAGGTGTTTGACACATGCAGATACCCATCAATTTGCATAGGAGTACCCGTGCTAAACAGATTTACATATAGAAAATGTGGCATCTAGACTGAGATCAGTTAACAGTGCAGGATTCAGTTAAAAGAAATTTATAGCCCAGAAGAAGGCCATTCGGCCCATTGTGTCAATTCTGTGCCCAAACGCTTTTACCTGTAGACTTCAAAGGCCTTTCAATAATAATCTATTTCAATTATATAATTAATTAGGAATATTTTAAAATTTTAAAAGTTACTTAGCAGAAATAAAAAGGTGCTAGCAAACAGAAACCAATCTCACCAATTTACTTATTTTGGTAGCCTGTAGACTTTCTCTCTGGAGATGAGATGAATGAGAGAGAAAGCTTCTAAAAGGATTCAATAAGATTTACATAAATTGGATTTAGCAAATCGAAAACACCAGTGAGGGGGAGGGGGATAAATAAAAGATAACCAATAGCAGACCAAAAAGGGAATTTAAGAGGAATTTATTTATGCAGAGAGTGGTGAGAATGTGGAACTAACTAACTAACTGCTGTTGAAGCAAAAGGCAAACATATTCAAGAGCTACCTTGACACATAGATGAGGGAGATGGGAATTAAAGGGATGTGGGATAGATTAGGAGGGGGATGCTCAAATGGAGTGGAAACACCGGTGTGGGAATAGTTGGTCTGAATGACTCGTTTCCATGTTGTACCATTGCACAAATTAGCTTCTGTGTTCACCCATAAAATACACAAATCACTCTTCTTTACAGAATATCCTGTGAAGAGCTTTGTCCTCCCAACATGAAAGGCATGATATCAAATGTAAGGTTTGTTAGTACAATAACACTGTACATACGACGACCCTCCTTTTCGACTGTCCTGCACCTTGGGACGTTCATGCAATGCAGAAGAAGCTATACAAATGTTATTCGATGCATGAATATTACAGTCCATCAATGCCCAAGTGGTAAACAGCTGTGCACAGCTGGAAACGGAACTGACATAAGAGCAACCCCAAACCAGAAATAAGTCAACTCTATCCGGGACACGTCCAAATTATTCCAGCATTTTATTAATTTATAACCGAAAAAAATCTTAAAAAACAGAACAATCCAGGAAATAGCATAGGCAGCATTTTATAAAGTTGTCCAAAAAAGCATTTACAGTAAGATATGCTCCCATTAGGAATACTGTGAGCAACTGTTTCAAGGAAAAGTGAGGCTGCACCAATACATGAGCAAGTCACATTCAAAAATATCTATGTCACAACCATAGTCAAACATCTTGAAGCAACATGCCTGTAGGCGTATGTCATACCAGTTTCATTATCTTTGTATCAATAGTTATATTTATGTTAACATCAATAAAAACTGTTGTGCATTATTAACCTTATTCAATATGCTAATTAAAGGAAAAAAATGAGCTGGCTGCATTAGGTTAACAATAAAATATTAAAAGGAGTAAAAATGCTGGGATATAAGAGTACCAAATAGCAAGAATGATTCTCAATGTAATACCTGAAATGTCAAATAAAACCACACAAACGAGGAAAAAGATAAATGCAAAGATCTGAGCTGAATCTCAACGCTTTTCAAATATTAGTCTTGTGAGCGTACGTCAAATAGAGCAACGTGCTATACAATGTAAAAGCACTTGTACCATTACATAGTTCCATGCTTTGAATGTCGTCCCACATGCTCTACTTTCTGTCCATTATTGGATAATTGATTCCCACAGGATACTGCACCAGTGGGACAAGTTATTCATTCCAAAGGCATTCATTCCACGTGGTAATTTTTTTTAAAAAAAGCAATCTGGGAGCAGATTGCTCGTGGCAATTTATTTGCTAACAATTTTTCTCTTGTTTTTACTGCAGTGAAAGCTTATAAAAGCCTTTTATCAGTCTGGAATGCATTCTGGGAGCAGTGTGGTCTACAATTACTGCCAGTATCATCACACAGTGGAGCTGTCCAGCAATATGGAACCAAAGTGATTATTCACCTGAATCCTTTATTGCCAAAAAAAATCAGTGTCCTCCGTATTAAAATGTGAAATGGAATAAAAACTCAATGGATACAACAGCACACTCTCTCTCTTCTACTGACCATCTTGTATTTAACACACCAGTTGTCACATCTGCTCATTTAACTAATCCGACTGCCTCGAACCATCACCACCTTCTCTGTGCCTTTAAAGCTCCATCCCACTAGCGTGTCCCCAAGCCGTTACACATCTGTAAATTCCAGCTACTCAAATACGTCATCCGTATTGACTGAAGTGTTGAATAAGCGGACAATGCAAAATGGTTTGCAATAGTAATTGCTGGACATTACAATTACCCAGTAAGGGGAGAGGTCATTTCAAAAGTGCAAAGGCTATCTCAATTTATTAGTGTGTTACTTGGGCAAAACTAGAACGGGGTTTAGAGAATCCATTGTGACAAAACAAATGAAACCGGACCATTTACCTTGCATATTTTCTCCTGCTTGTGGTGCCTTCTGCCAATGACACTTTTTTTCTTTAACTGGGCAGCTGGGGGCAGGGTTACTGATGGACATCATGAACACTGTGATCAGTGAGTAATGTAGTCTACAATTACAAGTGTCACCTAAAGGGTAGAATGCACTACACCAGTCTAACCTCTTGGTTCCGAGTGCTCTGATGTAGTGCCCATCAGTGAGAGGCAAAGACACACTCCTTTGTGGTCAGTCAAGGTCTGGATTAATACGCAAATCTTCTGGATTGCTTGGCTAACACAGTCTCCCCTGGATCGCTTACTCCATTGGAGCTTTGAACAGTACAACAGGGTGCCCAGTTCATTGGACAACTGGCTGACTCAATCCAGCCATGTGGGAAGATTTCTCACTGTTCCTGCAACAATTTAATAACACAACATTTTGCATGTGTGAACAAAAATCAAGCTAAGTCTGCATCAGAACAAAGCTGTACCCAAATCCAAACCACTCCCACTGCCCACACTCCAGCTAACATGTGTTGTTTTAAACCGTGAATCCAGCTGACACACTCACTGCCCAGTTTGGCAGCAATACTTGGGGGAAAACTTGCAGATGGGGAATTGCGTGCTTGCTGTTGCGACAGGATTTGTAGCTTCAAAATAGTATATTGTTCTGTGAAACAAAATGGGCTAGCAAAGGCCTTTCTGAAACTTGCTGAAGTCTGTGTAGGACTGCAGTAAATTAGACTGTAGGTACATATATGTAAGATGAGAAGTGCTAGAGAGATACACAAAGAGCCCTGGGTTATGTTTTTTTAGATGCAAAATCTTGGGTGCAATACAGTACTACATAGTATGTGAAAGGAAGCATTATTGACTGGAAGTATTAGGGTTGGTGAAGAGAAAGAAAGGATTCCTTGTACAACTTCAGACGAGGTGGGAAACAGGCAAACTTCTTTTGCTTCCCCTTACCTTGGTGAAATAAGCCAATGTTCTGATCACTTGCTCCATGTGAACTGCAATAATATAGATTAACTGGACTCCCAGAATGTGCTATACTCAAATAAATAACCATGCGTTTCTTTCCATAGTAGAACCCGATTTCAGAAACTGTTACATTATCCTACTAAACACACCTCAAGTCTAGTCTCGAAACAACCTGATTTATCATGGTTTCAGCTCAGGCACTTGGCGATGTGGATTATTATCTGGATATATAAAATATATACTTTTGCTAATGTGCATAGACATTTATCATAATCATAGCTACTACGTAGCAAAATATCTACCTTATAAACCTAGCCGTGCAAGTGAGCGGATGGTAAAAATGTGAACTGGGCCAAATTCAGATCAATCCAACATTCTTCTGACCAACATCATATCTTTACCCTCATCCCATCTAATTACAGTTCAAAGTTATGAATGTCACATTTATCCCCTGCTTAAGGTTTTGTACTAAATTCATATTAAGATTTTAAAAAAAGCCGCTATCCCTTTCAATACATAATGACTGTAGAAAGGATGGTCTGAATGTAGTCCCTCCTTATAAGGAGGTTGTGTGTGTGTAACCCTGGGACATGCTCTCGATCCAACTACAGATCATCACTTTCCACCAGGTCGTGCTGAGATGTGAGGTGGACTGGGTTCGCTTCTGGCAGGAATGCTGACTTGATGTCAAGTCCTTGGTCAGTAAGTGCTGCATAGCGGCTTGTGGAAGGTCGCACCTTCTTTGGCTTTGAGATTGGCGTCTGATGCCACTGAGGAGCTGAAAGTTAAAAAAAAAGGCGTTAGAAATGATGATCCTTAGTAGTGCGAGACATAGATTTCTCTCATTGTAAGGGAAGTGGGAAGGGGGTGGAGAGGAAAGAGAAAAAGAGGGGAGAAAGAAGAACAAATAAGAGAAAGGAAGAGAAAGAAAGAGACCCACACAACAATTTGCATTTATACATAGAGAGATAGAAAAAGACAGAGAAAGAGAGAGAGAGAGGTAGAGAGAGAGAGAAAGCAGGAAAGAAAGATCTAAAACACAATATTGTATTTGCAACCAACATTTGTGTAACTACAACATCCACTTTGTATTCATCTGATATGGAATTTATTGGCTGGAAATTTCAGTGTCATAAACAAACCGGGCAGCATTCATATCCAATACAGTATTTACAAACCCAAAGTCAATTAATGCAACAAACCCAGCTTGTAAATGCTGTGTTTTAGACCTTAGTAGAGGATAAAAACTAAAGAGTAAGCAGAATATGTATTTGCATAGCTGTGCTTGAACTAATAATAATACACCAAAAATCTCGCAGGTATTTCGGAATATAATTTCAAGTGACCTTTTCACCATTTTATCATGCCGCTAACAGGGATGCAAGATTAACAGTCCAGAAATATCAACCATAAAGCCAACTTATATGTGCTGCATCCTTACAGAGAAACAAATTGTCCTCAACAGTCCTTCCTCCTTTAAGTAAAGCTAGAAAATCCTACACAAATGGGGAAGGTTATAATGGATGGTGTCCAGTCAATGTTGAGCTAAACTCGGGTAACAATCGAATGGGATTGTTATGCTGCAATATCAGGATTGAAATGGCTGATTTCTCTCATTGATTTCCTTCTAGGCCTGTGTAGGCCGCTCATCTAAACACATTTTAAGCTTGCGAAATTGCAGTTACACCATCAACAAGTGGACCATCTAACCTATAACTGTTTTTTTCCCAAAATAAATAAAAATTGAGAGTAAGTAATAATAATACTTGCATTTGATATAACGTCTAATCATGTCATTGTGACATCTCAAAACGCTTCAGAGCATATACTGCAAAGTGAATTGACTATGCACTTGTGGACGAACGAGGTAGCCAGTTGCACACATGTCCCACAAACAGCCACAAAGTGCATGATCACCCTTACGTGGGGGATATTTTGGACAAAACACCAGAACAGAAAAACTCCCCTCTCTCTTCAAACGGTGGCACAGGATCCCCAAAGTCCACCTGAACAGGCAGACGAGACCTCGGTTTTAACGTCTCATCCAAAGGATGGCACCTCCAACATTGCAGCACACACCAGCATTGCATTGGAGTGTCATCTTAGATTATACGAGTTCAAATCCCTTACAGATTACAGATTTTCTGTAAATAATTAACTTTATATTTAAATTCACTGTGAAGTATGTGTAGAATGACATGAATTAGAACTACAGAGGAACAGCGTTGCAAAGCTTGGAGGAGTGTGATCGACGAAATAGAGAGTCAGGAAAGGGTGTGACAAATAAGAGAGGAAACAAGGGTAAGAGAAAGAGCATCTCACAAAGGTCCATTCCTGTGTGTCCTAGAGTACAAGAGTAGTGCCAGGAAAGACCTCCCTAGATATGGGGGCTGAATTCAAATCCAGGATGCACTTGACTTTATTTAATCTTTGCTGAGTGAAAGAAGGAAACGTTTTGGATTGAAATCGAGCTTTCTGGAGGCCTTTTCAACATTGAAGGAGATATAAGAATTTGACTTGAGATCAGAGACAACAGCAGCAACTACTTGACCTTCACGCAGGATAGCATCCCAGAGCTCTTGAAATAATGAAGAGCTCCACCTAAAACACATCTAGGACACACGGGAAATAATAATAATAATACTAATATTCCTGGCATTTGATATAGCGCTTTTCATGTCTTCTTGACGTCTCAAAGTGCTTCACAGAATATGCTGTAAAGTGAATTGACCGTATATTTGTGGGCGAAATTCAGCAGCCAATTGCGCACAGCAGTGTCCCACAAACAGTCGTGGATTGAAAATGACCAATTATTGTTTTGTGTTGGAGGGATTATTATTAGGTGTGTGAAGTAAGGAAATTTGCCCAAGGTTTCACCCTGCCTGGAATTGAACCCAGGTGTCTCGCTTGCAAGGCAAGTGCTCTAACCACTGAGCTACAGGACTCCACATAGGAAGCATCCAAGAGCTCTTGAAATGATGAAGAGCTCTACCTAAAACACATCTAGGACACACAGGAAAAATAATAATAATAATAAGAAGGTCGTAGTTAGATGCTCTTTCCCTCACCCTTATTTCCTGTCTTATCCGTCACATCCTTTCCTGATTCTCTATTTCATTAAAATAAAGAAACTTCCATCTAAAATCTGAGATGGGAAAAGTCCAAGCGATTGTCAAATACTCACTAACATTTGTTCGCAAACCATACTGTGGAAGTTAATGTTGTTGACAATTTTCAAATCCCTTCAGGCATTTTTTTTAAAACTAGGTACAAAAGTCTCCTTCAAAATTATGTGTTCTTAAGGATCATAATAATAATAATCTTTGCATTTGATATAGCGCCTTATCACGTCATTGAGATATCATAAAGAGCTTCACAGGATTAAATGTGAAGTGTATTTTCACTGTATTTTGTAGGCGAAAATGGCAGCCAATATTGCGCATGCCATGTTCTGCAAACAGCCATGGAGTAAGTGACAAATTTCATCTGGGGGATTGTTGGCTATGACACCGGGAGAAACTCTCTTCATGAAGTAAAATAGGATGGTTTGGGGTTGGGGGAACCAATTGGTTTAGGCAGCAGTTAAATCGCACAATTGGAAAATAATGATAATCTTTACATTTGGTATAGCGCCTTTCATGTCAGGAGGGCATCTGAAAGAGTTTTATAGGAGTATACTACAACTTGTAGTACTTTGGGGGTTAACACCATAATGTTAAAGTTATAAATAACACAATGTGACAAAGTTGCAGAGGTCAGAAACAGAAGAACACAAACTGACCGAGGACATCCAGCTTAGCTGTGCAAGATATTATCCCAGCCTCGTTCTTAGCAGACACTGTGTACCAGGCAGCGTCCTCCTTAGTAGTTGGCTGAATGAGCAGGCAGATGTAGCCTTTATTGTCGTGGTGAATGCTAGTGGTAAAATAAAAAATCCAGTTACTAATCCATCAGTAACAAAGAAACCAACAACCACCACCATATAATACATTAATCTTTACATACTAAAAAAGATGTGCTTTTAACTTCGGCAGCAAGTCTCAAAATGCTTCAGAGGATTCAAAGTGAAGTGGAGTAGACAAAGGTGGCAGCCAGTTTGCATACAGCAATGTCCCACAAACAGTTATGAAGTGAATTTATTTGGGAGGATCGTTGGAAAGGACACCAGGAAAAATGCTCTTCTTTTTGAATAGTGTAATGGGATCTTTAATGTCCATCTGAACAGGCAGACTGGGCCCCGGTTTGACATCTAAATCATGTCACCTTCAATAACGCAGTGAGCTTTTCCACAGCACTGCACTGAGAACTAGCCTAGACTTCCACATCTCAACATGGTGCCTGAACCCACAACTTTCTGACTCAGAGGCGAAAGTGCTATCAACTGAGCTAGCCTGGCATACAACACACATACAACTCTTCATGTAGAGCAAGATCATGTGTTTCACACAGATGGTGAAGGTCACCAAGCTTGTGGGGGTGAAGGGACAGCGTATAGGGGAAGTGACCAAAGGAGGTAGAGTTTTACAAAATTGGCTTTGGAAGATAGAGAGGGTGAGATGGAGTTTATTAACCACACTGGTAACCTCTGTGCAAAATATCAATAATTTAGAACCACATGCACCAAATGCAGAGATCATTATATTAGTATCTCTGCTTATAGATGGGTAGTCGGTAACAACTTCTTCCAAAAGAGAAGAGAGTTTCTCCTGGTGTCCTGGCCAACAATTCTCCCAAATAAAATTGGTCACTCACTTCATAGCTGTTTGTGGATATTGTTGTGAGCAAATTATGAGGCCACATTGGGCAACTGCTGCTCTCTTGGTGTTTATAAGGTCACAAGATTGTTTTGGATGAAGAAGGCCCTTTGGCCCATTAGATCTCATCCAATCCAGACCACCCATCCTATCACCACCACCATCTCCCCAATCACCGCAGCAAGCTGCTTTGTAAATGTTTGATTCTTAAATGGTAGATTTTAAACAGGCGGCAGTTGAACGAACTACCATTGTGGACGTTTCAGGTGATGAAAATTGCTACCAGAGTCTGTAAAGGGTTAAACACCGAAAAATGGTTTAACGTGGATGGAATCTGTGGAATTTTCATGTTTACAGAAGACTTAAACCCTACGTTTCAATTTCATGTTATTAAATGGATGGAAAGCTTTGAAAAAAAGGGAGTCTTATACAATTTCTTGCAAATGAGTCATTGTTTTCCCTGGACAGCCTAATAGCTACCTACTGATGTGTCTCCCTTCAACCTCAATCTCATCACAAAGCAACACGTTTGCCTTTGAACAGCCATCTCTGGAAGGATCAAAAAGATAGATTCGAAGACATCCAACTGTTTATGGATTCTGGTTAACAGGCCGAGGAATTTATTTCCAACGAAGCATTCCGATCATTATTCACAGTCTTAAGTCCGGGACGGAGTCTGACAGCAGAAAACCTGGCCTGACCTCATCTCACCACCAACCCCCGGGCCTGGCCTCACTTCACTCACTGACCTGGCTTCATCTCACTCCTGGCCTGACCTCATTCACCAGCCTACCCCGGCCTGACCCACCCCTTCACCTCATCCCCTGGCCTCACCTCACGCGCTCAGTGTTCTGAGTCAATGATTCGTTGTCCTTCTTCCAGAAGATCTGTGGGTACGGGACTCCGGACACACGGCACTCTAACCGCACAGGATATCCTTCAGCAACTCCCGTGTTCTGCAGCTTCTCTATGAATACTGGGGCTCTCACCATCTCTTTGGCTGTTGGAAGAACATAAACAGTCAGAAGCACAGAAATCACAGTGAAGGATGAAGCCAGTTCATTCAGCAAGCAACATTTAGTCAGGGTCTGTCACATCAGAAATCCATCACCCTACCTAACAACGTCCAACCCAGACTGAGCTCTCTCTCTATATATATATCTACACACACACACAGGCCACCTGCACATGGGAATTCATGTGTCTGGAATGGAATGCACACACTCTCTCCCTGGAGGGACACATCCTGCTTACCTTATTCCATAGAGTGTTAGATGTAGATTGGCAAGAGCTAAAGTTTGGGGACCCCACCCCAGCACGTATGTTGGGGGTACTGCTGGAGTTTAACCAGCTAAAAAAACAATAACATACCTTGCCAATGAAAACACTGTCTGGAAAGCTTCCCACCGCTTGCCTGGCTAAGACCAACCAACAACATTTATATAAAACACCTTCACGTGGGCAGCATCTCAGGAGTGCCTACCTGTTGGGGCTTTACTTTGCAGGGTTAGCAGGAGCAAAATAGGAAGAATCCCTGCTCCCCGTGACTGGTCTGACCCCCTCCCTTTACCAAAAGTCCCACCATTGAGCCAAGGCTGGCTAGTCTATCATCAGCAGTGCCCAATGTCTTGTGAGCATAAAGTGGTGCTAGTTCATCCATTGGCGCCATCACTCTAATCCTTTTATACTCTCTCTCTCTTCAAATGATCACCCAGTAGTGTGAAAATTTTCAAGGCAGGTTTTCTTACTCCACACGCCTTGGTTTATCTAGCAGTAACTAGGAACCCACTGAGTTGTTGGTCGACTGGCGAATCGCTTTCCGGGGGAATAATCCCTTCCAAAAAATAAACAAAAAAATGTGTTCTGTTCTGAAAATATCCTTTTTGTGGAATTCCGAAAAAGAGCCTGGAGAGGTGCCAAAAGTGACTCGAGATAATATTTTTGAATTCCCCTTTTCTGCTTTGTCAGAAATGAAATGATTTTCTGAGCACCTTCTTGGACTTGCAGTTCCAATACTGCTTCCTGCTCAACTGACCGGGGTGAAAAGGGCTGAAGTCAGCGCTTCCTGAAGGCAGAGTCAGGTTCTCCTCAGCCTGGCTGTGCACTCATCACCCAGTGCCACTCAACAGTGATTTGTGCTCAACATTTTAAATGGATGAACTTTTCTTCACCTTGGGAGTGTCTCTAGTACTGGAAGAGCTTCAAACAAAACTGGCTGAACACTACTTAACTGGTACAGCAAAAGTTTCCAGTCAGAACCTGGAGCAATTTCTTGGAGGGAGGAGATGTCTGGAACCCTTGTGCAAGATACAAAAAGTTTTTGTTTTAAAACTGACTCTCTTCTGTGCATTATCCCCTACACAACATGTCATCTCGATTAAAGGGTTCATACCCAAGCTTCTCTTTCAGATGTTTAACTTTTTTCTTTTTTTCAAGGAATTATTTTAGATTGACAGAGTCATTGCACTTTACAGTACACCCTGCCAAGTGCTTCGAGATCTCCTCCCGACGGAAATGGTGCCATATGAAATGAAAGGTTTATTATGATGGTTAATGCAACAAAAGGTTAAGGTGGGATCCGAGTTTAATTCACACTCAAATGGTATGCTACGTGACTGGTAATTTCGATGAATGGCACAGGCCCAATGCTTTAGTTGTACTTTAATTTGGGGTGGGGGGAATGTGAAGTAGAAGGAAGTGCGAGTTGGAGCCAGACCTAGGAATCAGCTGACTAGTCTCGATCACAATATTAATCTTTTCAAAAATGTCATAATTAGAATATAGCTCAGTGGTTAGAGCACCTGCCTTGCAAGCGAGAGGATCCGGGTTCGATTCCTGGGCAAGGCGAAATGTTGAGCAAGTTTCCTTACTCCACACTCCTCGGTTTACCTAGCAGTAAGTAGGAACCCGCTTGTTAGTCAATTGGCGGATCGCTTTTCCGGGGGAATTAATCTCTTCAAAATAAATAAATAATAAATAATAATGATTTGGTCATTTCAATCCACAACTGTTTGTCGGACACTGCTGTACGTAATTTACTACTGTGTTTTGCCTGCAAATTTTACAGTCAATGCACTTTACAGTATATTCTGTGAAGAGCTTTTGAGACATCTAGAAGACGTGGTAAGGTGCTATATCAAATGGAAGGTTTATTATTAGTAATAGTATCATATCTCGTAATTTTCACTTTATTAGTTACTTTAGTACCATTAGACTAATCTGTCGACTGTTGTAATGTGGTGAATCCAATAGAAAGTCTAATCAGAGAGCCTCACAAAAATATTATTGCATTTTGTTTCAATGCCATTAGATTGCCACGGACACACAGACAGGTGTGAACCTGGTTGTGGTGCAATGAATCTGAGAACAATCCCTAAAGAAGTCCTGTCTAGTCTGCTATATATAATATGCTGCATGTTTCTCTCTCCCAACGTTGAGCTCTTTAGAGTCATTTCCACAAATAATTGCTGTTAATTCACAAACATGAATTTGAAGGCTAATGTGACAACCAATTTGCACACAGCAATATCCCACAAGCAGCTGTAAAATGAACAGTGTGTTCCTTGTGATGGTTACTCCAAGGAATGAGTTATAAACAGACAACAACAAACAAACATACATTTATATAGAGACTTTCACACAGAATAGTGTCTCGGAGAACTTCACAGTGGCTGGGTTAGACACAGGAGAAGGAGAGGGGAGAGGGGGAAGGGGAAGTTGACTATAGGCATGGTTGAAGAGCTAAGTCTTGAGGAGGGATTTAAAGATAGATACAGAAAGGAAGATAGACAAAGGTTCCACTTCCAATTGGGAACATTAGACCCAGCAGCAGAGCTGTTTAGTGTATGTCAATAATAATAATGTCCTGGACACCAGAGTAGCAATGTTATCTTGATATTAAGTTGCATAGTTTGGTGACTAGAAAATATGACACATGCATGAGTGAGGAGAGAACAGAGGGTATAGGAGAGTGCAATAGGATGGGGAGGTTAGTGCAGGGTATAAACACTAGCACAGATTAGTTGGGCCGAATAGCCTGTTTCTGTGCCTATCAGCTCATGGCCCAATGTAGGACTTGAACCCACAATCTTCAGGCTCAAAAGGCAAGTTTTATATCAACGGAGCCAGCAAACATACCTGCAACTAAGAGTTCCAGGTTGAAGAAGTTCTGCCCAGCTCGATTGGTGGCTATGCAGGTGTATATCCCAGCATCTTTGGCAGTGACTGGTTCTATGACCAGGGAGTGAATGCCGTTCTCACGCACAAGCATTTTGTGGTTGGCATCGGAGTGGATCTGGTTCCCGTTCAATTGCCAAATCAGATCCGGAGTTGGCAGCCCACTGACCTGCAAGTAAAAGAGATACAGCGTTAACAGTTGTGAAGGGTTTGAAAAAAACAGACTGATAACATTATAAAGCTGCTCATCTGAAGAGGACTGCTACTGCTTGTACGTACATCAATGGATGGGAACCCTTCAAACATAGGAACAGGAGAACATTCAGCCCCTCGAGCCTGTTCTGCCATTCTATTAGATCATGGCTGATCTGTACCTCAACTCCATTTACCTTCCTTTGCTCCATATCCCTTGAAACCCTGAGCTAACAATAATCTATCAACTGCAGTCTTGAAAATTTGAATGGATCCAGCATCCACAGCCTTTTGGGGAGAGAGTTCCAGATTTCCACTACCCTTTGGGTGAAAAACTGCCTCCTGATTTCACTCCTAAATGGCCTCGCACTAATTTTAAGATTATGGCCCCCTTGTTCTGAATTCCCCACCGGAGGAAACAGTTTCTCCATATCTACCCAATCAAATCCATTTATCATTTTAAACACCTCAATTAGATCATCCCGCAACCTCCTAAACACAAGGGAAACTAAACAATCCAAATAAAAGATTTAGGGGTTTTCTACTTGAACATCAACAGTATAAGCTTGACTTGATGGCCTAGTGAATGCAGCAATAAAACATATAAAGCAAAAAGTTGCAGGTTCATTGACCTGAGTTACATTCCCCCTCCCAGTCTGATTATTTTTGATGCGGACATGTTCAGCACTGTGTGCCTCTGCTTGTAATGCAGAGCTTAAGAACCAGAATCATCAGTTTACTTCTTTCCGAACTCTCACGGCTGCAACGTCCTTTGGAAGGTGGGTGCCTTATACTGCTACAACAGGGCATAATTAGTGGCATTTCTCGATGAAATTTCTTATTAGGAAACCCAGTAAATTCTGCTCCAAAAGTAGATGGTTCACCATAATTCGCCCTTCCTCTGTAGCATATTATTTGCCTGTCTTTTTGGCTAAGGAACACTGCACATCCCAAGGAGAAAGCAAATGCATTAAGGACGCAGACCACACACTGGAAAGTATTTACAAAGAGGTTCCAGTGGCTGTTAAGTTAAGTAAAGCGGATTCTTCACTTCTCAGATTCTTTCCTACTGCGCTGAGCATCTGTTCAGAGCACAGCACGTCATAGCGATTTCACCTAAACTCATCTGCAGTAACCTCAGTAACACAGTGTGGGGGTGGAGGGAAAAGCTCATTCAATACACTGCATAATTTATTCATAATAATAATAATAATCCTTGCATTTGATATAGCGCTTTTCACGTCGGGAGGACGTCCCAAAGCGCTTCACAGAACACACTGTAAAGTGAATTGACTGTATATTTGTGGGTGAACGCGGCAGCCAATTGCGCACAGCAATGTCCCACAAACAGTCGTGGATTGAAAATGACCAATTTTATTATTGTTTTTGGTTTTGGAGGGATTATTATTAGGCTCTGTGTGGAGTAAGGAAACTTGCCCAAGGTTTCGCCCTGACCTGCCTGGAATTGAACTCAGGTCTCTCGCTTGCAAAGCGAGTGCTCTAACCACTGAGCTACAGGATTCATTAACAAGACTCTCAAAAAATAGCACATCCCTGTAAAAATAAACATCAAGAGGCACCCGCTCAACAAACTGCAATGCCTGACAGATCGTTTCACTGAAAAACCTCCTGGGAAAAGGCTAAGGAGCTCTAATTAACAACCACCGTGTTTTTTTTACAATGTTAATGAGGTTTAAATGGTGGCAACTTGTAACTTGAAACAGGTCAGTAAATAAGAGAAGCAAATTTCCCGCAAACAAAATACACCAGAAAAACAAAGGGCAGCTCCACTCTGTAAGTGGATCAAGGCAGAGCAGGGAGCCTGTATGAAAAGGGTGGGGGGAAGAAAAGAAACAGAGAGCCCGGGGGTTAAGCCTGGGGTGGGTGGGGGGGGAAGAGGAAAGATAGCAAAGAGCCCACGTGCCAGAGGGAATGGGCCAGAGAGCCCCCGCAGTCAGACAATATTCCGGATTCCCAGAGGTTAGCTGGTGTAGATACGATGGGCTAAACAGCATTCTGCGTGGTCTAAGGTTTCTATGGTTCTGTGAGCCATTATTAAGGATTTTCATTAGGAATGGCTGCAGTTCAGATTTCACTGTGCCGCTTTGCGCAATTTTAAAAAAAAGCAGTTGCTCACAGAGTCCTCATGAAATCACAACATATTTCTAAAGACCATCAAGAACACGGATTCCCAAATATCTTTCTCGCTGTTCAATGGACAATGTCTTAGTGACATTTGTGCACTCCTTCCATTGCCATTAGCTCCCATCCCAGGGGCAGAGGATGTCAGTGGAAGTACACAAACAGCAGCTACTAAAATAGACCTGAACAGGGGACAACTTTGGCCTCTTAAATCGATCAAATGTGGGATACTTTTTAAACCCACACACAGATGAGCTTCTTGCTTTCCATATATAGGCAGCTATTGCGATTGCAATGTGCAGCAGCTTAAAGCGTGTGACTTGAAAGCAGTATCTGCCATACATGGAACATTTAACGACCAGAGAAAGGGAAAACTTTCAGCAGCACAGCACCAGCTGGAACATTCAATATGATTTTACTGCCACAAATAGTTTTTTCAGTCAAATATTTCCAAATAATCTGTGGGTCAGATTCAGATCACGAGACAGAACTGGATCACGATTCCATCTCACCCTTCTGCTATTTGGTAATTTAGTATGAAAAACAAAGTCTCTCCTCATTTAATAACACTTGCACCGCACGATGTTGCCTGATTTTCTTCAGAGTTTGGCAAACTTCAGGAGCTGTCAAATTGCATTCCCCCCAGGGATGGCAAAGTTCAGCCCCCCCCCCCCCCCAAATAAACAAACAGTCACTAGTTTCCAGCCAGACTTTGCAAACTTGGGATTCGGCTGTGATACGCAAAAAGGAAACTGCGAATATTATAAATTAGACGCCTCCGTTTCTATAATCTTCAACACTTACAATTTAATAATAATGATAATAATCCTTGCATTTGATATAACGCCTTATCATGTTGTTGATACATCTCAAAGTGTTTCACAGAATATACAGTTTATTTTAAGGGTGAAATGTGGCAGCGAATTACACACAGCAGTGTCCCACAAACAGTCGTGGAATCAGTTATCAAATTTTTTTTGAGGGATTATTGCCCCAGGTAAACGATCCACGAATTGACTAACAACTGGGTTCCTACTTACTGCTGAGTAAACAGAGGAGTGTGGAGTAAGGAAACTTGCCTAAGGTTTCGTCCTGCCGGGAATTAAACCCAGGTCCTCTCGCTTGCGAGGCAAATGCGCTAACCAACGTGCTATGGGCCTCCACAATTTATAATCTTTTCAATGTACAGATTCAGTCTTCTTAGGTGAAGGATGATTAAAGTACTCTTAGTTCTGTTTTAAAGATGGTGCTGATATTTTGGGGTGAAAAATGCCATGTTTTGTAACCAAAGTGGTTGTCATCATTGGAACAGCTTAATTAACTCAATATGACAAATCTCTCTGAATATCAAACGTGTATTTCTGACCTGTATTTAAACATGATCATCGTTTAAATATTCACCAAGTTAATTTATAAGTGGGGAGGAAGATATGAAATATGAAATATGAAAAATGACATATTAAACTGATCAAACTATATTGGTCTTAGTAATTTCTTCTTTCAAAGCAGCACATATAAGTTTTCTTTGACAAAAGTTCTTTTTCTACAAACACGCTTTGTATCCAATCTGTACTTCAGAAGCAAAGGGCGCAAGACCCTGTGAAAACTAACACTTTCCCATGGGAAAATCTTTTTTTGAAATGACAGTGGATCTGGGGTCAATTCTCTCCTTTCTGGAGGAATGAATGCAGGTCAGAAGCAGATTTCAGGTAGGTGTTAACCAGCACCTGGAACCTATCCAGAACACTGGATGCAAGCCCGAGGCTACTGTGCTCCTCCACACGGTAACAATTGACAGTAATATCTGTCCAACAACACAGAACGACTCAGATTTCTAAACCCAGATTGACTTTGTTGAGTTTGGACAAATAACCAGTGTATGCTGCAGGCCGTAGGTTTATCTTGCTTAACATTATTAAAAAAAATCTAGAGTACGTGTCAAAGGACCAAAGAAACACAATGTGAAGGCTTGTCAAGTACACGTAAAGCTGCTGGTCTATACTGCACAAGCCAATCTGCCAGTCAGACACAGATGAGATTTATATATTTCTATCCTGGCTCAGGTGCCTGTAAAACAACCAGAAGTACACAATAGGTTTGTGCAATTCCTCGTCAATAGCTCCAAAACACATAGAAGATGCTTGCTCTGTACTATCCATGTCTCAGTCTGCAACCCAGACAATTACCCATTTCCAAGCTGCTTCAGTTCAACAAGTGAGAAACAGTATCATAGGAACTGCTAGACTACAAAAGTCCAAGGTCCATCCAGTTCACTTTCCACTAAGCATGCACATGTCAATGTCCTGTACTATTTATATATTGCATTCAAAAATATTATTTTTCACTGACAAAGTATTATTTCCTAAAATACATCTATCAAATTGCATTTGAAAGAATCAACACTTTCTACTTTCACTGTCTTGCTAGGGAGCCTGTTCCATAGATTTACCACTCGCTCACTGAAATAGAGTTTCCACAGATTTGTTTTGAATTTACCCTCCGTCAATTGCAGGTTCTAGGCAGCTTCGGTTTGGCCTGAACTCCCTATCATACCTAGAATTGTTGCTAGTGCTGATTCACTGATAGTTATACCCATGTGTAATGTCTACCAAGAGAATTCAGCACAAATGACCCAAAGGTTACAACTTCAACTGAATTTGTACACATGATGCAGAATTGCAGAGTGTGGAAAGTAGAGTCATATTCAGGGTCAAGGTGATGCCCTGGGTTTAATAGACCCATGGATAATCAGGAGGAAATAGTTGAGGTTGGAGCTCAGTGTGGAAAAATAATCAAAAAAAAGATTAAATGGGGAACACGTGCATTGAAGGATAAGCAAGCGTATCATACCAACACAAAGTGGGAGTTAGAAGTATCCGCAGAGCAGTGAAAATAGACAACAGCATCACACAAGCACGGGGGAAAGAGAGGAAGATGGGGACTTAAGAGTATTAAAATGTTCCTCGTATGGATAGATCTGTAAAGTTGGACAGTGGAACGGCACTATTAAAAGGTAGGACATAACAGCTGTTGAGAGGACATGAGACAACAGGAGAGAGACAGCTGATACAACCTAACAGAAATGTTATGATGAGATCAAAACAGTATTTGTAGTGGAGTGGATAAGAGATCTAGGTTTAAAACTGAAATACCTCATCCAGAATGAGAGATCAGAAGGATCTTTTTCTCTTCTCAGCTCTGCTTCAAAGGCAAGCTGAGAGGAGATCTGAAAGCATTACTCAGGATTTTACCATGAAGAGCGGTAACTGTGTATCATGTAGACAAACTCAACAACCAATTTGCGCACAAACAGCCATGAAATGAATGTCCCAATTCTAATCTGGGGGATTGTTGGCCAGGAGACCAGGAGAAACTCCCTTCTCATTTTGAATAGTGTCACAGGATCTTTAACTTCCATCTGAACAGGCAGACATTATAACAAGAAAACAAAGCTGATAGGGGATGCATTCGATAGGGGACCCTTATAGATAACAAAAAAGTGAGTTTCATAGATTGTGAACGTCACCTCTCACACCAATCATCAATGATTAATCTTTTCTGTGAATTAGTTTTTCTGGGAAATTTTTACAACACAGTTTACATTTGTAAAGCACCTTTCATGTAGGGAAGACGTCTCAAAGTGCTTCATGTGCTGAACATGCATCTGAACAGTTGTGAGTGGGAACGAGGAGAATGGAGAGGGATAAGATGACCAAAGGCATTGATCAGAGGAACTTTTTGAAACATGCCTTGAAAGTGAGGAGATAGGGAGTGTGTCAGAGAGTCTCCGAGATAGAATTCCAGAGAGCAGTGACAGAAAGGCTGAAAGCCCACCCGGTTAGGGCGCGGGCACGAAGCTGGCTGGTGCTCACTGAACAAAGGAGCGGCCGGGTGGGAGTTGCGGGGGAGAAACAGTCCTCAAATTATTCTTCATCCGTTAAGAGAAGTCACTGGAGTTACGAAGACAGCCCTGGAATACATTTGTTTTTAGCATTGCAACCCAGTATAAATTGCTATCTGAACCAAATTATTTTAAGAAAGGATGCTTAAAAATAAGATGACACCAAAATGGCACCTAGTCCCCTTGACACACTTCACCGTTCAGGGTCAAATGGCTATGCTGGCGTGAAGCTGTTCATGGATTTTTCAATAAACCCCTCTGCTTATTGTTGTTTTAACGATCAATACAATACCAGCAACATGATCCTTCCATCTATTTGTAGAACATGGCGTAACCTTGCCAGCCGCAATATATAGATCAGCTTGTCACAGGAGGGAATTAGGGAAGGGATCAGCTTTGTCATTGTGAATGAGCCTTTAGCAAGAAAGCTTAAATCTCTTTTGATGGAAACGGAAAGGAGCACCAAGGTACTTGAATGGCTCCGAATGGTTCACCTTCAGAAAGGATTCCTACAGCGTATTAATAAGAGCATTGGTAAGAGGAAAGGAGTCCTACAGCATACTAGTAAAAGCAAGTGAGAGGACCCGCTTGCAAGGTAATAATCCCTCCAAAAATAATAATAAATTGGCCACTCAATCCACGACTGTTTGTGGGACACTGCTGCATGCAATTGGCTGCTGCGTTTCGCCCACAAAATATACAGTCAATTCACTTTACAGTATATTCCGTGAAACGCATTGAGACGTCTCAACAATTTGAAAAGGCGCTATAACAAATTCAAGGATTATATTATATTTCTACACTAATTCAGAAAGTGGTGGGGAGTGGGGGAGTGGGCGGGGGTAAGAATGGGAAGTCTCCGGGTAAACCAGATGGGAATTGTTTTGATTTGTGCAAAACAGATACACGTTCTCCAGCTGTACTGCACAGCCAGCACAGAATGAATGAAAGCATCTCTTATAGACATTAGTCCAAGAACAGGCGAACCTACTCAAAGGGAAAGCAGCTCTTTGTTACAATAAACTCAAGTTTACCTTGCAGTCCATTCTGCACAGTTTTCCCTCTTGGACGATCATGTCTCCGGGTGCCTGCAGGAAGTGGGGGCGGAAGAAGCGCTCCTGGATAGACTCTGGTTCCTCTCCACTGTCCCTGGAGCGGGACCTCGGTCTGAGAACAAAAGCAGGGACAAAATTCAATCCACCATGAGCTTCAATGGCTCTACAGCAACCAGGTTATCCTAGTCTATAAACAATAATTTAATTGAACGTGTCCGACCACTGCAATATAAATTCATTTATCCTCCTTGTCCCCACACCGCCCCAAAAAAACACTCAAGGTTGAGAGATCTGAGATCTGTGCGGATGATGGAATGGGTGGGTATTATATCCTCCTTAACACTGGCAAATATGGAATGAAAGCCCATCTAGGTCATTAATTGGGATAATCTCTATGCACATCAAGTGCAAGTTGCCAATCTGCCAACTCTATTCACCAATAGGCACCTTCCCTCCCGGCCATAATGAAACCTCAGGGAGGGAAAGATATTCAGTTAAATAGGATATAGGAAAACAAATGATTTGAAAAACAAACTAGAGATAGCAGTGGCACAGACACAATGGGTCAAACACCTCCCTCCCCCAGAAAATTTACATTTCTGTGAATTTTTTTTGGTCAGCCAGATGTCTCACACATGGAAATCCATCACCATACCTAAGAGTATCCAAACCAAATTGCATCCAAATTCCATGCATCCCACCTACATATGGAAATCTCACAGATAAATTGTTGGACAAGAGATTACATTAACTCCTTAAGGAGAAATTTAAACTGTTTGTAAATAATAATCCTTGCATTTGATACAGTGTTTCTTCACGTCTTCTAGACATCTCAAAGCGCCTCATAGAATTGACTGTAAAGTGAATTGACTGTATATTTGTGGGCGAATACTGTATAAACCCATCCAAGCTCTCCTATATACTACCATACTGCCTGCAAGTCATTCAACATCACGCAGCCCCCCTCTCCTGTCCACACACACAAATTATACAGCAAGCCTTTTGATTAATAGTCATTTCAGAATATTGAATGTTACATTTGGATATCAATTTACAACAGAAAATACACTGCCACACATGGATCAGTTTTGTGTGCAGCAAAGGAATCAAACTTGCACATTTCAAATCTAAATCCCCGGCCCCCAAACATGTCTAAATACAGATCTGAGCACAAAGAAACTCGAGCCAGCAGTGCTGACTCATCATAAATTCCACCTGGCTTGTCAAACAGAGCAGATGTCAATTAACAACAACGCTAAACAAGCCGAACACATTCGCCCTGATCAGAGACGCCGAAAATGCCTTTCTGAAGGGTCATGAATTTCTACACCATATCCCTAGAACGTCTCTGCTAAAGATTATTGATCCAGCATGTGTGTGGGAAAGAGAGAGAGAGACAGAGCAAAACCAATACTTAAAAAAATAAAATGTGGGGTGAAATTTCTGCTTTTCTGTGAAACTGACTGTGTGCAATTCTGGAGAGGAAATCCCATTGTAAAGCCCACAACATGAAGTGTAACTTTTCCGACCAGCGGAACATGCATTACTAGTGGCTCCTGTGTAAAGTTTCTGTTGGTGAGCAATGGTGATTTCATAATGGAATTATCAACAGTGTCTATTGAAAGACTAAATCAGTACGTTGCATGACTAGCGTCTAGAAGTTAGATTCTGTACTCGCAGTGGATTCAAAACTACAGAACAGCCTTGGTGGCTGAATGATCTTTTGTGTTGGTATAAAACATTAAGATCCATATTCCTCTTGATCCACTCATTTACTGCACCTTGGCTGGACTATGCCAACTCCCTGCTTGTCGGCCTTCCCAACTCTTCCTCCACAGGCTGCAGATCGCACCAGGCTCCGTGACCCTATCACCTTCACCCTCGCCCGGCTCCACTGACTCCCCATCTCCCAGAGGATAGAGTTCAAAATCCTTACCCTCGCCTTCAAAGCCCTCCATGGCCTTGTCCCTCCTGACCTCTGTGACCTGCTAACCCCATATCAAAACCTGTCTGCTCCCTCTGCTCAGCAGGCTCTGGTCTACTCCACGTCCCCTGCCCGGCCTGTCCCACCATCGGCGGTCGGGCCTTCAGCCTTTTTGCCCCCACGCTTTGGGACTCCATCCCACATTCCCTTCACTTTAGATTGTCAGAAAGTCGTTACCTTCGAACATTCGATTGACCGAGAGGGGAGCGGGGAGAGCGTCCTCGCTGGCTGACAGTTTGAACCATCAGCCTTGCTGTGCAGCTTGTTCTACCCTGTGGGAGACAAAACGAAAGTGGCTTCTTTAATGATGCAGCTTCAAAACTAGATTTTGAACCATCAATTTTTAGAAGTCACTTGAAAAAAGGTTTTATGAAGCACGCATTCCACTTGTGATATAAGAATAATAACAATAATATTGTACTTGCATTTGATATAGTTCCTTATCATGTGGTCAAGGCATCCCAAAGTGTTTCATTGGATATATTGTAAAGTGTTGTGATTGTGCATATTTTGTGGGAGAATGCAACAACCAGTTTGCACACAGTAATGTCCCACAAGGAACCAATGGAATGAGTGACAAATTTTATTTGGGGAGATTCTCTTCTCTTTTTGAACAGGATCTTTAATGTCCACTTGCACAAGCATTTGGTTTAAACGGGAATCGGTTTAAACGTCTCAGCTGAAGGATGACACCTCCTAAAATACAGCACAGCCCTGGAGCATCAGCATAAACTATATGAGTTCCAAGTATTAACATGGGACTTGAATCCACAGCTTTCTGACTCACAAGGCGGGAATGCTACCAACTGAGCCATGTTGACATTTGCAGTTAAGCTACAGTTCCTGAACTACGGGTGGTTTGTCCTGAATTATTGCCTCTTAAATAATGTTTTCTTTCTGAAAATGACCATAGCAATGTGCAGTGCTAGAAAAGAGCACTGCAGTCCTTGGATTGGTCACTTTTGTTGCCATGTATTTTGTTTGATAGAAGCAAGCAAGCATGCAAACATTTTGTTTTAGGTGGTTGGGGGGATAAAACACTGTATTTAAATATTCGCATGCACAGTCACTACACGTTACAGTAAATCTTGTGAAGCGCTTTGAGATGTCCTCCCGACATGAAAGATGCCATATCAAATGCAAGGACTGTAATTATTAGAAAAATGGTTATTCTGTACACTTTGAGATCTGCACTGACAGGGGTTACATCCCCAAATTTGCACAATTCCTTCACAGATGTTCCTAAAAAGCAAGTCGGAAATCTGCACAATTTAAAACCGAGGAAGTGGGTGGTTTACATATTTTTGCCAAGTGTGCGGTTGGGTCTTTGTAAAGCCACTCCACTTCCTGTTTGGTCTACTGAAGGCAAAGGAAATAGAGTCAGAACTGAGGTCAAATAAAATAAGAGCACAAAGCAAAAAAAAACACAACCTCACAGTGTAGCTATCCATCAGCTGAGTTCAAACTCAATAGCAGGGAATTTATAAACCAGAACAAATTAATTGCGACTTTAACCCCTTCTAAAAAGAGTCTCAGCAGATGTAATAATAAGAATACTTATGTTTGATAGAGTGCCTTTCACGTTAGGAGGGCATCTCAAGTGGTTCACAGGATATACTGTAAAAGTGCAGTGACTGTGTGTTTTGTAGGTGAATGTGGCAGCCAATTTATTCACAGCAATGTCCCACAAACAGCCATGAAGTGGATGACAAATGTTATCTAGGAGATTGTTTGGCGAAGAGACTGAGAGGACCTCCCTTCTCTTTTCAAACAGAGATCTTTAAAGTCCACCTGAACAGGCAGATAGTAGCTTGATAATGTCTCATCCGAAGGATGGCAACTCTGACAATGTGTAGAGCTCAAAGTCTTCACTTGGAAGCAGTATATGTTTAATAAAACATCTGTCCCATTTGAGGTGGAAGTTAAAGATTGCATGGCTTCATGATCATTAGTGGACTATTACTGTATGCAAATTAACTGCTGCATACCCCTATACATAGTCACTATCTTAAACAGTAAATTCTGTTAAGTGCTTTGAGATTATAAAGCAATAGTGAGGAGGCGCTAGATCTTGCCTCCGAATCAGATGGTTGTGGGTTCAAGCCCCACGTAGGGGGGTTCCAAATTTTATAGGCCGACACTCCAATGTAGTGTTCGGTGTGCTGCCTTCTGATGAGATGTTAAACCAAAGTTTTGTCTGCTTGTTTAGGTGGACGTTGAACATCTCATGGTGCTATTGGAAAAGAGGAATTTCTCCTGGCATGTTTTTTGTCCATTCGTGTGAGAATTTGTGTTAGGATTACTGTGAGAATTGCTGCAAAAATGGAGATCATTTGAATATGCAGTACCAGTATATTATAAAGACAGATTTATATATAGAATAATAAGGCACAGAAAAAAGCCATCTGCCCCAACTGTGACGCTGAGTATACTACACATGTGCCTCTGTCTGTCTATTCCCTTTTAGCTCACGTAATGCATGAAATTTCTTAAATATGTTGATGCTGTATGCTTTACCCACAGCTTTTACCAACATTCTCAGGCTTATGGACCATTTGTACCAGTTTGAGAATCCACAAATAGTTGCCCAACACGTGAGGGAGATGCCTTAGACATTTTATGGCAATCCTTAGAACCCCTTAGAAATTGGAATTTCAGTCGTCAGAAATAGAGAGGCTGTCACTTCATCCAGATTAGACAGACTCCGATTTTTGTAAGTATAGTAAAAAAATCATTTTGTTTAAATTGACAGCTCAGCAGGTCAATGGTTGATATGCAAAGGATTACATTTGGTCAAGATACCAATCTGTAAACTAATAAAGCACAGTGGCGGGGAAATGAGACCCAAAGAAACCCGAGGAAGGGTACTGACTTCTCGCTTGAGCTCACTGGTTAACATGTGAGGAGGTTGAATGGCAACTTGCTTGACCACGTCTGTCAACATGCAACTTGCCCTGCTGACTTAATAATAATAATCCTTGCATTTGATATAGCGCTTTTCATGTTTTCTAGACGTCTCACAGAATATGCTATAAAGTGAAATGACCGTATATTTTGTGGGCAAAACGCGGCAGCCAATTGCGCAAAGCAGCATCCCACAAACAGTTGTGGATTGAAAATGACCAATTTATTATTGTTTTGTTTTGGAGGGATTATTATTAGGCGTGTGGAGTAAGGAAACTTGCCCAAGGTTTCGCCCTGTCTGGAATTGAAGCCAGGTGTCTCGCTTGCAAGGCGAGTGCTCTAACCACTGAACTACAGGACTTAATAATCATCCTTGCATTTGAAAAAGCGCCTTGTCACTTCTTCCATATGTCTCAAAGCGCTTCACAGAGTATATTGTAAAGAGAATTGACTGTTTATTTTGTGGGTGAAACCTGTTCAGAGCATAACTTTGATTAGTTTCTGTGGACAGTAAACTCTAAATCTAAAACTCCTCTTCACACTGAGACTGAGCCCAGCTTCAAGCTGTGATGCTGTATCTGTCATGATGATTCAGTCTGTCACTTAAATTAGCAATGACTCAATTAACTTAGTTTCACACTTCTGTCTGCCTCTGTCAAGTCTTTGATTCTGCAGGTTAAACCCTGATAGACCTGGTGCCTCAGTTTCTGAAAAATCCTTTGATCAGATAAAGTCAGTCAATCAGTATTGGCCTGTCTTGCATTCTTTAAAGCAGCCAGAAGTGACCACATGTGTAGTAACTGGCAAATTTCAGTATGTGCAAATTACTCAATTGATCCATTGAATAATAACTCTTAATTGAAGTTATATTTAAGTCAGTTCATAGACGGTTTCAGTATCCCTTAAAATAATATTCAAAGGATCTCTCCAAGCCATTTAACATTCTTGGGATTCTTCAGTATCCCCAAAAGGTTAATACACACCCAGTTCATGTTCTTATATCCTGAGAACATCCAGTGTAGAACTAAGTTTCTTACATATTGGACATTTCTTTGGGGTATAATGTTTTTTCTTGTAACATACACAACAACAAAATTACATTTATGTAGTGCCTTTCACGACGAAAGTACGTCCCAAGTCACATGCAACTATGGACATGAGCAATGCACCACACTCAGTAGCAGCAGCAGATCAAAATGCACATTGGAGGATGGACATAAAATCAACATAGCACTAAAGCCTAGAATAAACTGCATGTACAGGACGGGGAGAGATATAAAAAGGACACATTAATGTCAACAAACACTTAGCCAAAATTTCATTTTAGAATATTGCCACTCTGTTACCCTTGCAGCATTTGTTCAACTTTTCACTCAGTCGCGCACAAACACGTAGAATAATAATTTGAACCTACCAGTGGGTTGGCCAACATGATGGTATAATTCCCATCATCGTCCAGCGTGGCAGCTTCAGTGCTGAGAGAACATGTCCCATCTCCTTCACGATGGATCTTGTAGTGCTCACTCCGCTTGGAGATCTGCTTTCCATCTTTAAACCAGTAAACCTACAACAACAACAACAAATTACATTTGTATGCGCCTTTCAGGTCAGGAGGATGTCCCAGCACAAGAAAGACGAGTGACACCCGAGGAGAGTGCAAACGCCCCAAAAAAGGGAAGACGGATTAGTAACTTTCTCTACATCACTAGGGATCAAGCCGGGAGTCTATATTTATCCTCTGAATCAGGTCACAATTATTTTTTAAAGCAGCTTTGCCTTCAGAAAACACAGTTTAAAATTTAGTTGGTTTCCGGTGGGGAAGAGAGAAAGTGCAATGCTTTTTTCTTTAAAAAGAAGTACTGTAAGCTCATGTAACAAAAAGCATCTCAACCTAATTTAGGTCACATGGAATAATGTGCAGAGATTTCTAATGGGAGTCCTACTAAGGAATCCAAATAGAGAGTTCTTCTAAACCAGAAATAGTTATAGTTTGTGCCAATCCATGGTAACTCAGCTCCGAAGATAATCAAAACCATCAGAGTGGAGTTGTCACAATAGTTGTGTGACACATTTCCTTATTAAGGAAGCCAGTTACAAGTTGTCAGTTGTCTTATGTTAAGTCTCCAAACACATCATCAAACAATCATAAGACTGGGTTGGATGGACAAGGTCCTTCTGAGCTCATCCTTCCAGTACCTTCCACCGCACTGTCCTCCCAGAGTACATCTACTGCTTCTTTTTAATCAAAAAAGAGTCTAGTGTCCTGGCCTCAACCATTCTTCCTGGCAACCTGTTCCAGTTGTTAATTACCCTCTGAATAAATAGAACTTTCTGACGTCTTTCCTGAAGTTACCCCTTTGTAACTCTAATGTGGATTCGTGTAGCTCAGTGGTTAGAGCTCTTGCTTTGCAAGCGAGAGACCTCGGTTCGATTCCCAGCAGGGTGAAACCTTGGGGAAGTTTCCTTACTCCACACGCCTGATAATAATCCCTCAAGAAAAAAAACAATAAATTGGTCACTTCAATCCACGACTGTTTGTGGGACATGCAATTGGCTGCCGCGTTTTGTCCACAAATTTACAGTATATTCTGTGAAAAGTTTTGAGACATTTCGAAGACATGAAAAGCGCTATATCAAATGCAGTGATTATTATTATATTATTTATGTCTTCTGGTTCTACTGTCGGTGCATCCTAAAGTAGGATCTGAATTGACATTTTCCAATCCCATTTAATGATTTGTACGCCTCTAAAAGGGCCCCTCAGAGATGTTCTCTGTCAAGACTGAAGAGCTCTAGCTCGTCAAATTCTTCCTAATTTCTCATTCCTCATTCTTGCTCGTTGCTCTCTGCACTTTATCTAGGGCCTCCGGGACCTTGGGATATCCTCACTGATCTGAAAGGTAATTTGTTGTTGTTGGTTTGCTCCCCATGTCACAGTAACCAAAACTGTATGCAGTACTCTAACAGGATGGCATCTGTGAAGATCTAAACTCAACTGATTTAGCAATATAGACCAGTAACCCATTTGCCTTGTTTATTGCTGTCTCACACTGTTTTGACAGACAAGACCTTTGTTTAAAACAATAAGATGGTTTTGTGCCAATGACGTCTCAATACCATCAATTAAAGAAAGAGCATTCAAGGCAAATGCTATAACCAGATATCTTGACCTAGCTTGGTTATATATTCGGTTTGGTCTCTTCTTGCCCCTCAGATACAGCTGCATACGTACCTTTGGCATGGGTTCTCCGGTTACTTTACAAGCGATGGTTATCGGCATTCCTTCAAACAACTTGACGTGCTTTAGTTTCTTCTCAAACATGGGTACCATACCCTCTGCAGACTGTTCATCATGCTGTACCTCATCATCCGATTCATCCACTTGGGAACGCTCCAGGCGGAACTCAATTTCGCTGATCAACCTCTGCTCAAAGGTAGAGACCTTGTATTCCTAAAACAACAGCAAGACAAAAAAAAGGATACACTTAGTTGCCTGGCCAACAGTCTCAGGCACACCTGTTGCCGAGATTTGCCCAAATTTGTTTTTAAAATGAATGAGGAGGAAGAACTTTTAACAGAATAAATCAGGGTTCAGGTGACAACCATTTCAAATTTTACTTTTATGATTTAAGGTATCTGAACCCTCTGACTGTGGTTACTGAAATACAATCCTTCCAATGTGTCCCATTAGTAGCCTTTGATAATCTAACGCCACTTACTATTTTTGACATTTTGAGCACTTTGAATTGTTTGCAACATCCTCCCCTCCTGATAGCTGATTGAAAAGAAACTTCACCCAATCAGTTACATTTACAAGCAGATACTCATTTCCATATCCTGATCTATTTACCAGCGCCTTTGGGGGATGTCAGAGGACCGAACAGGATGATTAATTAAGATCAACTCCTCTCTAACTCTAGAATGGTGGAACAGGTTCGAGAAGCTGAACGGCCTACTCCTGTTCCTATGTAAATAGTGACTAGCACGGTAATTAAGAGCCTGAAAGGCCTGTCCAAAGGGTGAAACCTTATATGAACGTTGATATATTGGCTGCTTCAGAGCTTCACTGCAGCAGCTACATCTGTCTACTTGAACCCAAATCCACGTCTCTTCCCAATCCCTTAAAATGTTATTTTCCAGTCTTGTTAAAAAAAATCACACTGTGAAAAAGGGTAACTACAGTATATGCAGATACTGAGAGAAAAAGACGGTGAAAATTCATTTGCGAATGGTTTGTGTTACTGAATATTACTGATGTGAATTACCACACAGCAGGTGAAGGTTGCTGTTCTTGATAATTTATCAGCTGTTGCACAGGTGTGAATTCCACCTCCCTCTCAACTCAGTGACGAGACTTGGGCCTGAATTCAGTTTGCAATTCGCACTTGAATTTGCTGGCTCACAATTGCATGTTGGTGGGAAAGCTGGCTTCACTCTCACTTTAGTGAGTTATGCCAGTATCTCACTCGCTGACACATCGTACAGATACAACATTTCTGCAGACTTTTAGGCCACAATCAATAAATCAAGAAATCAACTGGTCCCAATTTGCCAGCCTTGTGAGTTTGCAATTTTTCACCCCGATTCTTTCCTCAGTCTCAGCATGAAATCGTAACTTAAGCAAAGTGCAACACCACTCAGACCAAAAAAAATCACATCTGGTGCTCCTTCCACACAGCAGTCCTGAAACATTGAGTGAGAGGTGCAGGAAGGTAGATATTGGTTAGTGGTTTCAGTATGAATACCAAGGGCGGAGGGGTAAGAACCAAATACTATGAGAGTGAAAGTTAAGCCACCTTCAGAACAAACTTTTGAGTAACCTCAGAACAGCTTTCAGATGGTTTAATGCATTCTAGGTCCTGTAAATGCAGAAATAGATTACTGTTACACAGGAGGACGGCTGATTGGCTGCTTCACTGGTTATTCTCAGCAAAGGTTCACATTTCTCCTCTCCCAGTCTCAAAATCTACATATTGTTCACTAACGTATTGGTATCAGCAGAGATACCCTCCCTCCCCTGCCCCCCCACCGTCCTGGCCAACAATCCCCCAGATAATATTGGCCACTCACTTCATGGTTATTTATAGGACACTGCTGTGCAGAGGGGGGAAGGAGAATGACCAAAGGCACAGTCGAAGAGGAGGGTCTCGAGACGGGTCTTGAAGGAGGAAAGGGAGGGGGAAATACAGAACTGATACAGCATTCAGGTGATCGGAGTCAAGCCCTTCCCAATAACATGTCAAAAAACTTTTAAAGTGACTTCTCAAGTCAATCATGAAACAAATGCCTATCAAGAAATGCAACTTTTCTTGCACGTGCACATAATTTTGTTTCGGCAGCTTCCAGAGGGAATGTGGGCAATAAAACTTATTACATTACTATCTTGGCCACATTACTGCAAGGTATCTGGCATTGGGGTGGGTCAGATCAGATCACATGAACCTTCTCCTCCCTACCATTTGCTCCACAGAAGCACTTCACGTAAAAGGCAAGTGAAAGCTCCAAATAATAATATATAATCTTTGCATTTGATATGGTGCTTTTCACGTCTTCTAGACAACAACAGCAACTTGCATTTATGTAGCATCCTCCACGCTGGTCAGTGTCTCAGAGCGCTTAACAATGGCCTTAACAAGGCCAAGTCAGGGGGAAGGGGAAGACGACACTAGACGCGGTCCCTGTGTAGACGTCTCAAAGCGCTTCACAGAATATACTGTAAAGTGAATTGACTGTATATTTGTGGGCGAAATGCCACAGCTAATTGCGCGCAGCAGTGACCCACAAACAGTTGTGGATTGAGTGGCTAAATTATTATTAATATTATTATTTTTTGAGGGATTATTATCAGGCGTGTGGAGTAAGGAAACTTGCCTAAGGTTTCACCCTGCCTGGAATTGAACCCAGGTCTCTCACTTGCAAGGCGAGTGCTCTAACCACTGACCTACAGGACTCCTGATATCTGCAATACAAGATTGGTTTGAATGAACAAGACCCTTCAGCCCATCTGATCTCATCCCTCCAGAACACACACACTACCATTCCTGTCTAACACAGCATCAAACTGCTTTTTAAATGAATCCAGTATCCTGGCCTCCACCATATTTCCAGGCTACCTGTTCCAGTTGTTGATTATCCTCTGCATAAAGAAAAATAATCCTGGGGTCTGTCCTGAAATTGTCCTTACAACTCTAAACCTATGTTGCTGTGCTTACGGTCATCTCTTCTCTTCCCCAGGCTCGGCGTTAGGCACCACCACTGTTAATCGGTCCGAGATGCTGCCCTGCATGAAGGGTGCTATATATATGCAAGTAGTTATGCCCCGTTATTCTACTGTCTTGTCATAACAGCGCCAAACCAGTCTCACACCTGTGCTACAGGCTCCTCTTCGGTCTCTTGACAGCTAAAGACCGTGGCAGCACTGTCTGCTCCCAACAGCCTACGGGCCATCTTTTCTTCATAGGTCAACTTCTGGAAAACAATGGGGAAAAAAAATCAGCTGGAGACAAAATGTACAGTAAATGGGTAAATGGATCTCATTCATTAAGTAGAGCTGCCAATCAACAACAACACGCATTTATATAGTGCCCTGCACACAGGGTAACACCCCAGAGCGCATAACAGTGTCTGGGGGCTCCCTGTACCTGGGGGTGGGGTGGGGGGGACAACAATCTCAATGGCTAAGGTATTGTATTTAGTTACATGCACAGGCCTATTAAAGATCAACTCCTACTCCCACCACCCCCCACCCACCCCATGGAACCTGGAGTTTGAGATACCAGCACGTCTCTGTGCTAGACCATAGGAACAGGAGTAGGCCATTCAACCCCTCGAGCCTGATCTGCATTCTATTAGATCATGACTGATCTGTTCCTCAACTCCATTTACCCACCTTTACTCCATATCTCGTGATACCCTTACGTAACAAAGATCTATCCACCTCATTCTTGAAAATCTGAATCGATCCAGAAATTGTCTAAAAGAGAATTGAGGAGGAACTACTTCACACAGAGGGTAGTGAGATTGTGGAACTTGCTGCCTGAAGCGGTGGTTGAATCACATATTATAGATGCATTCAAGAGGAAGCAAGACCTTCACAGGAGGGAAAGGGATGGGTATGGGAATGAATAAGGACTGGGTGGAGCATAAACACTGGTGCAGAGGGTTTGGGCCGAATAGTTTGTTTCTGTACTGTACATTCTTTGTAATCTTGTAACTGTACATTAGTCTGCCTGGCTCAGTGGGTAGCACTCTCGTCTTCCGAGTCAGAAGATTGTGGATTCAAGTCCTCGCTGGGAATCTGAACACAGAATAAGCAGACACTCCAGTGTATTGTTGGCAGTGCTGCCCTTTAAATGAGATGTTAAACTGAAGTGCTGGCTGCCTGTTTAGGTGGATGTTAAAGATCCCATGGCACTATTCGAAAGGAGAAGGGATTTTTTCCTGGTGTCTTATCCAACAATCTCCCCAAATAAAATTAATCAGAAGCAAGAGTCCTGCCAACTGAGCCAGGCTGATATGAGTAGATTTACTTTAGAGTGTACTTGTGTAACTGTACTTTGTAAGCAATACCTGTCCATTGCTTAAACGGTCATCTTTAAAGCGAAGCTTCCTCTCCAAGTCCTGAATAACAGCGTTCTTTGTCCCTTGAATTTCTTCATCTGTTGCAAGTCGACCAGCCCTAGTCTGTTTCTTCAGGCTTTGAGGAGTTCTGTGAAGAGAGAAAGATTATTTTAGAAGAAAAATGGCGAACTAGTTGGTACATGGAATACAGAGCCGGTCAGGTTAGTTTCTTTTCAGGGGCCAAAATACCTTCGCTTTTCCAAAAATTACTTTTCACATGCTGGTGTTCAAATAAGACAAAAACACAGCTAGATAACTGAACAGAGCAAATTAAGGAAAGGATTGAAAGAGCACACAAATGCTCACGTGTGCCACAGATATAATAAAATAATAATCCTTTCATTTAAGATTGTGTCTTATTACGTAACGCTGAGATGTCGCAAAGCAATTCACAGAATATATATTATAAAGTGAATAGACTTATATTTTGTGGGTGAATGGTAAGCAATTATTGAATATGTTAAGAAACATCCCATCTTCCAGTAGATGACCGTTACATGATTGACTGCAGGTGTGGAGTTCCCCCTCTCCCAACTTTGGCACAATGGTTGGTCAGACCAGCCAGACATTATTGCCGGTAACATCATGGGTGGAGTTAGGCCATTAAATGACAGTGAAACACCACACTCTATGGACAGCAGCAATGGTGTCACCAAATCCTCTAACTGTCATCTGGACTGACTGCTGAATTGAAGGGAAGAGGGAAAAAAGAAGAAAGAAAGAGAGTGCTGCCTCCGCTCGCTGCCTCCGCTCAGCTGGCTCCGGCTTCCTGTTTGTCCCCCGTCCCTCCGTTCCATCATTGGGGACCATGCCCTTAACCACAACACCCGGAAACTCTGGAACTCTCTTCCTCAATGCCTCTGCCTTGCCCCCTCCCTCCCCACTTCCAAATAATAATAATCCTTGCATTTGATATTGTGCACTGAAATGACGCCCGGTGTGGAGGGCGCTATGCAAATGTATGTTGTTGTAGCGCTTTTCACGTCTTCTCGACGTCGCAAAGCGCTTCACAGAATATACTGTAAAGTGAATTGACTGTATATTTGTGGGCGAAACACGGTAGACAATTGCGTACAGCAGTGTCCCACAAACAGTCATGGATTGAAGTGACTAAATTTATTGTTGTTGCTTTTCTTGAGGGATTATTATCCCAGGAAATGCGATCCGCCAATCGACTAACAACCAGTTCCTACCTACTGCTAGGTAAGTACAGGCATGTGGAGTAACGAAACTTGCCCAAAATTTCGCCCTGCTGGGAATAGAATCCAGGTCTCTTGCTTGCGAGGCGAGTTCCCTAAGCATCCAGCAGCAGGGCTCCACAATCCCACCTAAAGACCTTCGTTTTTGATCGTGCTTATGGTCACCACCCCCCTCCCTCTCCCTCTGGCTCAGGGTCAGACTCTGCCACTGCTCTAGGACGCTACCCCTCATGAAGGACACTACATAAATGCAAGTTGTTGTTGTATGGGGGGGGGGAGGAGAATAAAGAAGAGAAAAGAGGAAGGAAAAGAAAGTTTAGCGGGCAAAATAGTAAAAGAGACAGGAAATGCTAATGTTAATAAATAGATTCAGGGTCAAAGTATCTGGGGTTTAAATGGCTTCATCAAGTAATATCCCCCCTGCCCCCCTCCCCAATTGAACACGGATCTTCACGACACTGTATTATCTAGACGATTGCCTTAGAGAAAGTGTTGTATACGTGGCAAGCAGTGGAGCCTGCTGGTGAAGCATTTTACAATATATAAAGAGGGATGCCACAGTAAAAGAAAGTCAGGAATTTAACGCAGGAGCATGGAATTGGAATAAGATGCCAGTGCCAAGTGTTAATCCTTTTTGCCACCTCAGTATAAATAACGACATAGCTGACATCTGAGCTGCGTGCCTCATTTGATGCTCTGCAGCCTGGCTGATCCTGCCCCAAGCTGGAGTTAGTTTACATAAGCGTTCAGGTCTTCACGAGAATGCGCACTGCAGAATTACAAATCAAATCATCCGCAAAGCTGAGACAGTTTATGCAAAAAAGCAATTCAGAAAAACAGATAAAATAAATGGCTCCTTCCAAGTTTTACCCATATGTATATAAAAACAAGCTGCAGGTTTACAAAAAAATATTTACCCAACAGATTCTCTGAACACTCCTTTTGTGATTCATACTTGATTTGGCTAAGTGTTGGCTATGGATTTTGTTGCTGAAAAAAATAATTCCAGCCAACCAGGCCTTCCACGCCCCAAAGATTAAACTGAACACTTCCCACCCGACGTGAGCCAGCATTGAACATAAGAATTGCGAGACGAAAGAAGACCAAGATCCATCCAATTCGCCTTCCACCATCCTGGCAGTCTCTTGCACATGCCACGTCTCAAACTATAATCTGTATCCCAAGATATTATTTCCTAAAAAATATCTATCTAATTTGCTTTTGAAACAATCTGCTTCCACCATCTCTCTATTTACCCTCACTGAAATAGTCCTGGGTTAAACTGGTCGGTCTCGCTTGCGACATTCATCGATTTTGTGGTATTGTAGGTCTCGATATTTACACCCCAAGTTACCGATAGTAACTTGCTTTCTCTTCACGGCAATCCCAGGCCTCCTGCACGTCCCTCGCTCCCTCAGCCTCAATACCTGGGGCAGGGCCGTCTGCCCCACCCACCTTCCGGAACTCCCTCTCTATCTGCTGCCTGTCTGCTCTTCACCCGTGCCTGCTCAGCGTGAGTCACCATCTCTGTGAAGCATTTTGAGATGTTCTCCTACGTGAAAGGCACCATATAATGACACAAACTGTGGTTGCCAATAATCCACCAAGTTACAGTCTTTCACACACGAACCTGCAGTGATCTTAAAAAGCCTCGCGGCTTACTTACATTGCAATAGCTCCTTTTGGAAGACCCAGTGCGTTCACTGTTGCTAATGGGATGGGCTGGGAGGGCAACATGGAGCTGAGGAAGGCTGCTGGTGATTGACTGGAGTGAGGGGATGCTCTTCCACCACCCGAGGGGGAAAAGTAGGAGGGCTGGGCTGTGGGAGACAGAAGAGGAGGGGGCGGTGGTGGCAGAGGGAAGGAATCATTAGCATAGGCAGTGAAGGGACTGAACACTGGGGGTGGTGGAAGTGGGGGAGAAGGCGAGGAGCGGTTCAGCGCTGACGCAGAGGTAAGACCATGTTGCTCAGCTTCGATGAGGTGAGGCTGTGTAAAGAGAGGCAAGGGGGCCCGGTTAAAAGATCTATGAGAGGTGGGAGGAGAGAGGGGAGAGGAGATGCTGGACCCAGAAGACCCAGAGGAAGGAGAAATGTATCCAGTAGAAGATGACGACAGGCTTTGAGCAGCTATGAACTGCTTGGGTCGGGCATAGTTGAAGGTAGTGGTCTGATGCATGGCTGAAGGGGTGTGGGAGTTCAGAACGTTCATCTGGGCAGGAGACGACAGGTTGGAGAGAGGCGAGGGTGGCGGGTAGTTAAACTGCAATTGCTGTCCTGGGGCAGCTCCCTGCTGTTCCAACAGAACCTGGTTCTGCAGCTGCTGCAGCTTCAACGGATCACTGTAAAGGGAAGCAGAGATACAGCACAACGTTAATGTTAAATGGTCTCCACTTCTGCAGAGAGATTTCAGACCAGAGAAGATTTTATAATAATAATAATCCTTGCATTTGATGTAGCGCTTTTCACATCTTCTGGACGTCTCAAAGCGCTTCACAGAATAGACTGTAAAGTGAATTGACTGTATATTTTGTTCTATAAGTGGGCTTCACATACGTTGCAAAGATATTTTAGATTTATATCTTGGATTTTCAAAAGAAAACAAGGTTGGTGATTTAGAATTACATTTTTTAAAATCAAAATTCTAGTGAAAAGGTTTCCGACTGCAGCAACAGGCCAGCAACTACAAGCCCATCATTCAGTGACTGATCCTGTGCATCAACATCATCACCAACGATGCATGAATCAACCCATTTTTCCCCCTACTCCTCCATTGCTGTGATCAATGAGGTTAAATTACACAAACACAAGCAGCCCGAGGCTGCAATACTGTGACAGAGACGGAGGTGTTCAAATTAAATGCTGGTAAACAGAACACTTCAGATCCTACGCCCTAAACTTCTATTCTGCTATCTTCACCCTCTCCCCATTCACTGTCTTTACATCATGCCTGAAAACCCACCCCTTGACCACAACTATGGTGGTTGAACCACCCCTTGCTCGGTGTCCGGCCCCCAATCTTTGTAAAGCGCTCTGAAACATGACCCAATGTGGAGGTGCACTATATACTGTAAATGCAAGTTGTTTTAGTACTCTTGGTAACATATTGTGAGCATTTCGTAGTTTAACGCATAGCAGCTTAACACAATGCATCCTAACAGAATAAACTCGAGCAATATGAAATTCTCAATACTACAAACTCGTAATCTACGGAGGTTTCTTTCTCCCCCTCTCTCTTTTTCTGGCTAACATTCCCTAGATAAAACTGATCTTTCACTTCATGGCTTTCTGTGTGACATAGCCGCAAATTGGCTGCCTACAAAGAATTCACATTCGCTACAGGCTGCAGTAAATCCTGTGATGCGCCTTTGAGATGTCTCAACAACATAATATCAAATGCAAGATTATTAATTATTGTTTTTTGTGGCATGAGACATTTAGTGGAACAAATAATCCCTTAGCCCAGTGTGGTGCCTAAATAGTTCTAAGCACTTTGACGCTTACATTTTAGAACAAACTGCCCAAGAATACAAAAATCCCTAGTTATTCTAACCCAGGGTGAAACTCAAATCTGTAGGTCTGATATTATCAGCTCAACTGTCCTCTATTGTTTAAGAAACCTATGAAAGGGTTAATGAGCAGTGGCTAATCTCACTGAGTAACTTTCACCAAGATGTGAGATTTCCAGGAATTAATGATCTTCCAGTAACTCATTGCATTAGAAAATAATAGGGCAACAACTTGACACCGAGCATAGAGATTCCACAATTTCCTTACGTTACACAAAAAGAACTGGAGGAAAAGTGAAGCTTTACAGATTTACATCAATTCGAAAGGCAATTTTCTGACTGGACTCCCTCTCTCTTTTCCCCGCAGTAAAGCAGGTACATTCCATCCCGTTAATCCATCTGCTCTTAAAGATTAGCCTTCTCTTTGTGAAACCCCTGACATCAGCAGCTTTTGCCTTCAGTCAGTGGAATTCAAGAATGCTCCGCATTTTTGGACTGGTTCCAAAAATTGCTACAAAAAGTTTTTTGAGGGGTCAAAGGGTTAATGCATCTCGTCCAAAGCAGGAGCACTGTAGGCTTTTGGTCACACTCCTGTTGTACAAATGTTTGCACATGAATCTGAACAGATGTAACCGTCAAGGTTACATTCCCAACTTGGTGGTTTGATTTATCAGCTGGGCCAGTCTAGGAATGCAGTCAGGCAGCACCTTGACCCCTTGACTCAGATAAAGCACAGAAATGGGTGCTAAGAGACTTTTTGGTCAGCCAGGTCTCTGACACATGCAGAAACCCATCACCACGCTTAAGAGTATCCAAACCAAGCTGAGAATTCCCTGCATCCCACCTACACATGGAAATCCCAGTGATAGATTGTTGGAATGGAATGCGCACTCTCTCCCTGGAAGGACACATCCCGCTTACCTAATTCCAGAAAGTATTAAGCGCTGATTGGCAAGAGCCAAGGCTTGGGGATCCCAGAGTGTGTGTTGGGGTACTGCTGGAGTCTAACCAGGTAAAACCGCACAGCTTGCCATTGATATTGCTGTCTGGCAAGCTTTCCTGCTGCTTGTCCAGCTGGGACCACCCTACCTCTTAGACTTTGCTAAGGGAAACGGTCCTCAACTCATCCAGATTTTAAATCGTGCTCATTCTGACAACAGTAAAAACATTGGTTATCCACGCACCATTTATACGCATTCACCTCCAAAGCAGAAGTTGAATGACGGGCCTGCAAAATGCCAGGAAACAAAAATACCCGTGTTGCACACAAAGTTGCTAAGGACGCTCCGAGATGGCTATTGAATACTAACCACTGCGTACAAATACAGCAACAGTGTGTTCTCTGCTGGTAATGAAGACCTATATTATTACATTATATAGTTTAGAGTTGGAAGACTGAAAGAGACTGGCTGTGTGTGGTATGACAGGGATAGTATAATTTCTGATGGAAAAATTATCAATCAATTTCTTCACCAAATAGCTATTCAATTCTTCTTGCCAGAAGTATAAGAAGGTAGAAAGTTTGCAGAAAACACATGAAATAGTTTCTCAATTCATTTTTTAAAATAACTAGCAGTATATATATGACCATCAATATATGACTATTATACATAGTCTTGCATTCTGCAAAAGCTCAGCTGGTTTCAAAGAAATAGCTGTGCATATAACATATATATTATTATAGATATATATATATAAAACATTTGCAGATGAAAATTTGGCCCAATAAGGATCATCAACATGAAGACTGAGGTATGAATTAAGTATGATGAACAGAACGTGATTCATGTGGATTTAGACCTGTCTGGTTTGTTTGATAAAGCAAGAATAAAATTGAGGTCATTACACACTGAACATAGTGTTTAATCTTTCATACTAAAAATGTTGGTTTTGTTTTTATCCAATTGCCCAGATGATGATGCATTGGCTACCATAAGGTAAGATAACGCCTGGCACCAAATGCTTTTCACAGATAAAACTGAAACCTCAACATAATCACTTCCCGCACAACTTCCTCCCTTGTCAGTCTTTCACCACGTTAAATAGCACATCTAAATATAAAAAGACAGGATGGCAAGCGATAATAATAATTTGATCAACTGTTTGTGGGACATTGCTGTGCGCATTTCACCCACAACATATACAGTCAATTTAATTTATAGTACATTCTGTGAAGGGCTTTGAGATGTCTCAACGACGTGATAAGCCACTATATCAAATGCAATGATTATTATTATAAAAGATTATAAAAAAGGCAATACCTTTTGTGGCAAGTCAGTCACAGCCACTCTTCGATTCAGTGTCACTTACTGTACAGCAGGACTTCAGAAAAATGTTGAGGGAGTGTTCTTGCTTATAACAAGTAAAGAATAGACTGCTAGTTAGAGACACCTAATCCCATTGGACTGCTGATGGTCACGAGCCCAAACTAAGTGAAGCAAGTTTAAAAACATTCAACACGGGAAATGCTGAGCCACTGCTGAATCACCTCAGTAAAATCCTTTCCAGACAAATGACGACAATGATGGCAACTTCTCTTCCTCCACAGGGGAAAGCCAGCATTACCTTTGCCAGATATCTTCTGCTGTACATTAAATCAAGTTGTCACCCAGCAATAAAACCAAGCAAACCGGTTCCGTTTTCTAGGTATACAAGATCTCCCAGGACGTACTTTCTCATTTACAAAAAAGGGAGATTCCAATTTCTGTTTTAACTACATTTCAACATGTTTCACGGAAAAATCCCAACCGTTTGGCACTCACTATTGCAGCAAGTAGAATATAAAATGAAAGTCAGCGAGTTTTTAAAAAAAAGCTCGAGATATACATATGTTTTTACAGAACTTTGAATGGATTGGTTTTGAACGAAAACATTTGACAAAATAGTTAAGTTTCCCTCTGCCCCACAGATACAGAATTCAACTAATGCCTTTTTTGCCAGAACCACTTTTAATGCTCACTTTGCAATATATAGTATTCATATATACATATATACAGTAAATTCAGAACAAATCTATGCAAACACCTTCAGTGAGCGAAAAGTGAACCTTTGGAACAGGCTCCCTAGGGAGATGGTTCAAGCAGGAAGTGTTGATTCTTTCAAATACAGATTAGATAGTTTTCTTTTAAGAAATAACATTATTGTATATAGGTAGTTTGGGACATGTATGCATGAGACCGCCAAGAAGGTGGAAGGCGAACTAGATGGACCTTGGTCTTTTTTCGTCGAGCATTTCTTATGTTCTTATGTTATTTACATTGAGCTTCTTCAAAATGCCTCAAAAATACATTACAGAAATGGTAACCGGACACCAGGCTGTCTGCGAGGGTATTGTAAACATGGTTTTTGCTGAAGCTTTTTCATTTCTTCACAATATTTGGAAGCACGTTTTCTTTGTTGTTCTCTTTATGTTTGCGAACATTGGCCGCTGAATTCCTTTGGTTGGGATAAAGAGGGAAGCTAAGTTTATGAACCTCCCATTGGGCATTATCCAGGGCGCTCTGCAAAACCCAGCAGGAAGCCTCTGTATAACTGGGAGCTGTGAACAACGTCATGCTTCTCCTCAACTACGGGATTCCAGGAAACGCAGGCCATGTGCCTGACCAGTTGCCACCAACCTGACACACACTATTGCTGGTTTCTGCTTATATTTATGTTAAAGCAATTCATGTATTATTTACAGCTTGGAGCCGAACAGTTTGCCAACGGAATGTCACAATCAAGTCAACCCTCTGTAGCAGTCTCGATAGCCCAGTTCCTGAGCCAGGCATGTCCGCAGTATTCCAGGGCACTGCTGATGACAGCACAGCCAACCTGGCTCATTGGCAGGACAT